TCTTTGCTGTGCAGAAGCTTTTTAGTTTGATATAATCCCATTTGTTTATTTTTCCTTTTGTTACTTGTGCTTTTGGGTCTTATTTGTAAGTTCTCTGCCCAGTCCTACTTCCTGTAGTGTTCCTCCTATGTTTTCTTTTAGTAATTTTATGGTTTCAGGTCTTATATTTAAGTCTTTAATCCACGTTGAGTTGATTTTGGAATATGGTGAGAGGTACAGGTCCAGTTTCATTCTTCTGCATATGATGTCCCAATTTTCTCAGCAATATTTATTGAAGAGGAAGTCTTTTCCTGAACATATGTTCTTGTTTCCTTTGTGAAAGATCAGTGGGCTGTAAGTATGTGGGTTTATTCCTAGGTTCCACAGTCTGGGTGTCTGTTTTTATGTCAGTACCGTGCTGTTTTGGTTACAATAGTTTAGTAATAGAATTTGAATTTGGCTAGTGTTGTACCTCTGGGTTTATTTATTTGTTTATTTTTGTTCAGGACTTCTTTGGCTATTTGGGGTCTTTTGTTTTTCCATATGAATGTTAGGATTGTTTTTTCTATTTCTGTGAAAAATATCATTGGTATTTTGTTGGGGATTGCATTGAATCTGTAGATCACCTTGGGTAGTATGGACATTTTCACAGTGTTAATTCTTCCAATCCAAGAGCATGGTAGGTCTTTCCACCTTGTTGTGTCCTCTTTAATGTCATTTGGTAATGTTTTGTGGTTCTCATTGTAGAGATCTTTCACCTCCTTTGTTGAATTGATTCCTAGGTATTTTATTTTTTTGGTGACTATTGCAAATGAACTTGCTTCCTTGATTTCTTTTTCTGCTAGTTCATTAATGGAGTATAAAAATGCTAGTAATTTTTGCATGTTGATTTTATATCCTGCAATATTACTGAAATGAACAGTTTTTTGGTAGAGTTTTTTTAGGTTTCTCTCTATATAATATCATGTTGTCTGCAAACAGGGATAGTTTTACTTCATCTTTTCCAATTTGGGTGCCCTTTATTTCTTTCTCTTGCCTGATTGCTCTGGCTAGTACTTCCAATACTATGTTAAATAGGAGTGGTGAGAGTGGGTATCCTTGTCTTGTTCCTGTTCTGTTCTGATGATATTGGTGATTGGCTTTTCGTATGTGGCTTTTATTGTGTTGTGAGTTTCCTTCTATACCTAATTTGCTGATAGTTTTTATCATGAAGGGATGTTGACTTTTGTCAAATGCTTTTTCTGCATCTTTTGAGAGAATCATATGGTTTTTGCCCTTAGTTTTGTTGATGTGGTGTATCACATTTACTGACTTTGATATGCTGAACCATCTTTGCATTTCTGGGATGAATCCCACTTGATCATGGTGTATAATTTTTTTGATGTGTTGCTGTATTCTGATTGCTAATATTTTGTTGAGGATTTTGGCATCTATGTTCATCAAGGATATTGGCCTATAATTTTCTTTTTTTGTTGTATCTTTGTCTGGTTTTGGTACCAGGGTGATGATGCTGGCCTCAGAGAATGAGTTTAGAAGAATGGCTTCTGTTTCAGTTTTTTAGAATAGTTTGAGGAGAATTGATATTAATTCCTCTTTAAAGGTTTGATAGAATTCAGCTGTAAAGCCATCTGGTCCTGGGCTTTTCTTTGTTGTAAAATTGCTGATTACTGCTTCAATCTAATTCCCTGTTGTTGTTCTGTTCAGGTTCACTATTTCTTCTTGGTTCAGTCTTGGTAGTTTGTATGAAATTTATCCATTTCCTCCAGATTGTCATATTTGTTGGTGTACAGTTGTTTATAATCTCTAATGATTCTTCATATTTCTGTGGTATTGGTTGTAATGTCTCCCTTTTCATTTCTGATTTTTGTTATTTGGGTCTTCTCTCTCTTTTTTTGTTTTTGTTAACCTAGCTAATGTTTTGTCACATTTTATTTATCTTCTCAAAAAACCAACTTCTTGTTTTATTAATCTTTTGTATTGTTTTTTGGGTCTGCATTACATTTAGTTCTGCCCTGATCTTGATTATTTCTTTCCATCTACTACTTTTGGTATTAAATTGTTGTTGTTTTCTAGTTCTTTGAGGCATAGTGTTAGGTCATTTATTTGAAGTCTTTCCATTCTTTTGTTGTAAGTGTTTATTGAAATAAACTTCCTTCTTAGTACTGCTTTTGCAGTATCCCACAGGTTTTGGTATGATATATCTTTATTTTTGTTAGTTTCAAGAAATTTTTTGATTTCCTGTTTAATTTCTTTTTGGATCCGTAGGTTGTTTAGTAGTCTGGTGTTCAGTTTCCATGCACTTGAGTAGTTTCCAGAATTTTGCTTGTTATTGACTTCCAGTTTTAATCTATTGTGGTCTGAAAGGATACTTGGGATGATTTCAACTTTAAAAAATTTTCTCTGACTTGATTTATGACCTAATATGTGGTCTATCCTGGAGAATGTTCCATGTGCTGATAAGAAGTATGTATATTCTGTAGGTGCTGGATGAAATGTTCTGTATATATCTGCCAGGTCCAGTTGGTCTAAGGTGTAGTTTAAATCCTGTGTCTCTTTGTTGATTTATTGCCTGGAAGATCTGTCTCATGATTAGAGAGGGGTATTCAGGTCACCCACTATTATTATATTAGGGTCTATCTCTTTCTTTAGGTCTAAGAGTGTTTTCTTTATATATCTGGGTGCTCCAGTGTTGGGTGCATATATATTTATGATTGTTATGTCTTCTAGCTGGATAGATCCCTTTATCATCATATAGTGCCTTTCTTTGTTTCTTTTTATGGTTTTTGGTTTAAAGTCTATTTTATCTGATATAAGAATAGCTACTCCTGCTTGTTTTGGTTTCTATTTACATGGTATATCTTTTTCTTTCCCTTCACTTTTAGTCTGTGTGTGTCTCTACAGGTGAGGTGAGTCTCTTGAGACAGCATATACTTGGGTCTAGCTTTTTAATCCAACCAGTCATTCTGTGTCTTTTGAATGGGGAGTTTAATCCATTTACATTTAGGGTTGTTATTAACAGGTATTGTTTTACTCCTGTCATTTTATTGCTTTTTGTTTAGATGTTTTAAATATCTTTTGTCCATTTCTTACCCTTTTATTTCTTGTTTTCAATGTTGGAAATTTGAGGTGGCATGATTTAGCTTTTTTGCTTAATTGTTTGCATTTTTATTTTAATGGTGGGTTTTGCTCTCTCTTGTGTATCTGTGACAGTGATTATTGTTTTTCAGATTCCAGATGCAGGACTCCCTTGTGAATTTCTTGCAGGGTTGATTGTATGGTGGTGAACTACAATTTTTTTTTTTTGGTCTGGGAAATACACTATTTCTCCCTCATTTCTGAAGGATAGCCTTGCTGGGTATAGGATTCTTGGCTGGCAATTATTTTCTTTTACTATTTTGAATATATCATCCCATTTTCTTCTGGCCTGTAGGGTTTCAATTGAGGAGTCTGCTGTTAGTCTAATGGGGGCTCCCTTACAGGTGACCCTTTTCTCTTGCTGCTTTAGAATTCCTTTTTAGACATTTTAAGGGTTTCCTGCTCTATGGGGTCTTGTACTTGAGCATTACTGTATTCTTTTGGTGTGTTGTATCTTCTCGTTTGTTTGTAGTTCTAGTATTTTTTTGTTGGTGTTTGGTCATCTGGTAGAGCATTTGTTTCTTCTATTACTCTGGAGTTGGCTATGAGAATAAAGATTTCCTCCTCTATTTGCAGGCTCCACTGGTGACTCTTCTTGTATCAATGTAGTTGAGTGTGCAGAGGGCTGCCTGTAGAGCGGCCCTGGCTGCTACCATGGTGGTGAACTGTCCTGGATTTTCTGTTTTTCTAAAACATTTATTGAAAAGACTGGTTTTTTTCTCACTGCTCTGCAGTGCTTCATTTTTTGTGAAGCCAGGGTCTGTATGTGCTGGGGTTTTTCTGTTCTCTCCATTTTGCCTCATTGGTCTTTGTTTTCCTTTTGCAGCAGTGCCACACTGTTGTTATTCTATAGCTATAAAATAATTCTTGATATTTGTAATAGTAAGTTCTTCAACCTTCTTCTTTTTCAAAAGGGTCTTGATTATTTTTTTTGGCCCTTTGCATTTTCTTAGAAATTTTAGAATCATTTTGTCAACTTACTCATACATATACACACAAACACAATCTGTTCTGATTTTGATTGGAATTGCGTTGAATTTTTAGGATTACTTAGTCTTTCAATTTGTGGATTGTGTGTGTGTGTGTGTGTGTGCACACATATATGTCTTGTACATGTTTTGTTATATTTGTTCCTAACCATTGGGTTATGAAGATATTTGGTTTTGATAGTTCACTGAACCGTACTTTTAAGTTTTTGCAAATTTCTAAACATATTGTATGTTTTATACATGTAAAGATTTAAAAAGGTGCATTTACAGTATGTCAAAAAGTGCCAAATATCTAGTATTAAATACCATAGAAGATGTGCATAATCTCTGTGCAGAGATACCATGCTATTTTAATTACGTTGTTTAATTATTTCTACTGTGAGGGAAGCTATTAATTTTTATATATTGAGCTTGTGTTAGACTACCTCCTAAATTCTTTATTTAGCCTTTTTTTTCCTGAAGGAATAATGAAATAATAACACTTACTTCTGTTCCTTTCTGACATGTACTACCAGTATGTTGTTGAATAGAAGCAGTGGTAGTCATTTATGTTTTGTTTCTGATATTAGTAAGAAATGTTTGTTATGTTTCATTTATGAAGTGATGTTTGTTGTAATTTTTTGGTAGATATTTTTCTGAAGTTATGGTAGTTTTCTTCTATTTCTAGTTGTTACTAGTTTTTCCCTCCACCTCTAAGGAGTTTTTGTTCAATTATATCAACTTTTTTGTTTTAAACCAGGCATTGGCTAACTATGGCCTAGAAGCCAAATATGGTCCACCATGTGTTTTTTAGGACACATGATCTAAGAATGCTTTTTATATCCTTAAAAAGTTGAGGAAGATCAAAAAAAGAATAATATTTCCCAACATGTAAAAATTATATGAAATACACATTTCCATGTTGATAAATAAAGTTTTATTGAAATGTGACCACACACATTTGTTTACATGTTATCTATGGCTTTTTGTGCACTACAGTGGCAGAGTTGAACAACTGTGACAGAGACCATATGGCTTGCAAAGCCTAAAATATTTACTATCTAGCCTTTTACAGACAAAGTGAGGTGACCCTTGTTTTAAAACATCATGACAATCATATATTTATTCTCTTTTACCCTACCAAAGTATTAAGAATGATGCTTCCAGCCACAAGTTAGCAGAAATAATGACCCAAATTTGCCTAAAGAATAAGACTATTTATTGTCATATATAGACAAGCTCTAGGCATGGCATGATCATTATTCATGTCTGATTCTCTTGGCTTTGTATTACATAACAGATGTCATTGTCCTTAAGCATCCTTCCTGCCAAGATAGATTCTTTTAAATATGAATGTCTTTGTCCCTAAAATGAATAAACTTCTTTGATAATACATGTGGGATTGTTTGCAGAGATTGTTTCCTAGTGACTCTGTATATTTATGCTTTAGCAAATGTAGTTTAAGAACATATCAATCTGATTTCCAATCACATGATCAGGTGGATGGACAGTATTGGTGCCATAAGCAATGGACATGTCCCAGGCATCAATGATGCCCACGTTGAGATCTTTGAAAATGTCCTTCATGGTAAGATACTGAATGTAGCCATGGAAGTCACCAAATCTTTCTGCCTCTATATGCATCTCCCTCATGTTTTCTGTCTTAATGATCACTTTAGTGGCTGGGCTTCTTAGGAACAGTCGTTCAATAGCCTTTCGAACATTGATAGTCCTGCGAATAAAAATGTCCATGGGGAAGGATCTGAAGTGCTGGCCAAAACTGATGACGACGATTGTGTTTTTGTCTCCCAATAGCCGGTCAATTTCCCGAGGAATATAATCATGATCTATCACAGAGTAGAGCTGAAGAGTGACAAAAGGAAGGCTATGTTTTTTCCATTGAATCAGGGTGTGTCTTTCTGCATCCAGAAGTAAATGTTTCTTAAAATTTCCAGTTTCATGAAGATCAAAAAATTTTAGTGCTGATAAAAAATAAATAGATCTCTTAACAAAAGTAATGATCAATATTACAAAAAAAAAAAAAATCCTGTCATTTAAAATATCCACCTAGATTCTTTTTTTCCCCCCTTTTTGTCTTTTTTCGTGACCGGCAACGGATTGCAACCCTCAGTGTCGCGCCCGTACCGGACCGGGACCGGCAACAGGATCGCAACCCTCAGTGTTGCGCCCGCTTCGCCTCGCTCAGCCAGTGAGCGGCCAGTCTGTATGTGGGATCCGAACCCTCGGCGGGGAGCGCTGCCGTGCTCCCAAGCAGCGCACTGTAGCAGTGCGCCACTGGGGCGGCCCCCACCTAGATTATTTCTGACTGGAACATTTCTACCCTTTAGGGTAGATTACCAGTTCATGTATGTGAAATGTCTATCAAAATGAAAAGTTTCATTGGAATTTATGAGGAACAATATTTCTTATGAAAGAAGAGATAAAATACATTTTAAATTAAAAGGCTCAAAACCAGAAAGCTGAACGAAGTTGAAAATAAGACAGCCCAAATGAGAGACTAGAGACCTCATTAGAAGTACTTCAAATGCTCAATGGAATACTACTCCACCATAAAAAGAATGTAATTATGCCGTTCACAGCAACATAGATGAACTTAGAAGAAATTATGGTAAGTGAAATAAGCCAACAATCACAATAATACATTGAACTTTCAAAAGGAGAGGATAGAACTGAGGTTACCAGAGGTGGGAAAGGGAGAGGGGGAGGGGAGCTAGCAAGAAATTGGTAAAAGGCCACAAAAATTGATTACATTGTGTAATATTGAATGTACTAATTATCCTGATTTGAGCATCACATATTGCACACAGGTATTGGTATTTGATGCAGTACCCCACAGATATGTACAATCCATTATGTTTAAAAAAAGTAAATTTTTAAAAAAAGTACTTTAAAATCAGCCTGAACTTCTAAAAGAATATAAAATAACTACATACTTTTTATGACTTTGGGTAAGTAGTAGATCCATTGGCGTAGCGTAGAGTCTCCAAAGAGATAAATGAGTTTTCCTTTCAAACAGCCATTTTTCATAATTGTATCTAACGGAATCTGTTTGCAAAATGTTGTTATCCACCTTTTTTGCAAAGTATAACCACCAGGGACAGGAATCTTCATCCCAACTTGGCATTTCTCTTTTATCATTTCACGGTCTGGTAACAGATACTGTGGTAAGTGATTTTATTGACATGTTAAACATCCAGCCTTCTTTCTTGTCTTTCCCCTTCTTGATCTCTTTCTGCCTTCCTCTAACTCCTATTTCCTACTTCTGTCCTTTCTTAGCATTCCTATTTGATCACCAGCTTTGTTTTAGGCACTCCTACTCATTCTTTTGAGAGATTTTAAGTCATCTTGACTCCTCCCTGTTCATTTTCTCCCAATTATGGTCATGAGCTAAGTCTTGATGTTCTGTCTTTTGCATGCCATTGCTATAGTTTGGATATGATTTGTCCCACCAAAACTCAAGTTGAAATTTGATTGCCAATGTGGCAGTGTTGGAAGGTGGGGCCTAGTAGGAGGTGTTCGGTCATGGGGGTGGATTCCTCGTGAATTGATTGATGCCCTCCCTGGGGAGTGGCTGTTAAAAAGAGCTTGGATATATAATGCATGTCCTCACTCATAATGTGCTAAGAAAGAAAGAAAGAAAGAAGGAAGGAAGGAAGGAAGGAAGGAAGGAAGGAAGGAAGGAAAAGAAAAGACCACAATAACACATTGAACTTTGAGGAGGAGAGAGTAAACCTAAGGATATTAGAGATAGGGGGAAGGGAAGGAAGGGGGTTGGGGAGTGATTGGCCGGGTAAGGAGCATAAAGAAAAAAATATGATTTGTATTAATGGATGTGCTGATAAAAAATACAAATATAATAATAAAATGAAATAAAATAGAACAATTACTGAACAAAGAGCTTGGCTCCTTCCCTCTTTCTCTCATTTCCTCTTTTGCCATGTGATCTGTATGCACACACCTGCTCCCCTTCCACTTTCTGCCATGAATGGAAGCAGCCTGGGTAGATACCATTGCCTAATCATGGACTTTCCAGTCTACAGGATCATGAGCCAGATAAACCTGTTTTCTTTATAAATTACCTAGTTTCAGGTATTCTTATTCCAGCAAGTTCCACTAGAATTATAAACTCTGTTGGTACATGGCCTGCCTTCCAATGTATCACTGGTAGCAGTGCACCAAATGTTTTGCCATGACATAACAAGTATCATCAGACTTCTCATGTCATGTTTCTTTGCTACTCTCTATGCTGCTACCCCACCACTGAGTCAACCCTCCTATCTTAGGTTTTGTTACATCAGCACTTCCGTACTGATACCGCATTCTGTGTTAGATGGGAAGTAAGCTGGAATGCCATAAGAAAGGCCAACATAATAATGACCTAAAATAGAAATTTATTTCTCCCTCACGTAACAGTCTAGAGTGAGCAGGTCAGGACTAATATGATGTTGCATGGTGTCGGGGACTCTTGTTCCTTCTACCTTGTTGCTCTGCCATGCTTAACATATGACATCAATCTCATGGTCCAACATAGCTCTTTCCTTTCCCACTTATATCTACAGCTGAGCCAGTGGGAAGGGGAGAAATGGAAGGGGAGAGCAAGTTGTTTTGCTTTGAGAGGCATGCCCTAAAAGTTTCCCATATCACTTCCATTTATATTCATGGAAAAAATTTAGTCATGGCCACAACTAGTTACAAGGAAGTGTGACCATGGGTTCAGCTAAAATAATGGGTTCTATTACTAAAGGGGGAGGAGGGAACGGATATTGGGGGATCACCAGAAATCTCTGCTTTATCCTCCTTTAGTTTCTCATAGGCTTGCAGTCTCTGATTGCCTTTGTCCACAGAATAGTACATCATTACATGATTGTACTGTGTGTAACCTGTGGGCAAAGTGGCAAAATGGTGCTGGCCGCAGAATTGGAAAATACACTAGGAATAGCTCTTAAATCCAGATGATTTGGCTTGCTATAGGGAATTTTCATAATCCTATAGCTACGTTGTAATTTCAGTGTGACATGAGGCTTGAGAGCATTGTACCGTGGATGGTTGAATACCATAACCTTGGAAGCTTGAGGTCCATGGTTATTAAATATTCCCCATCCTAATAATGTATTGGCATACTTTGGTGAAAAGATAGCCTTTCAGCCTGTTATCATAAACCATATCTTATATAGTGTTTATTCAGGTTATTCATTTTGCCAAGTATCAAACTAAGTGCTCTGAAGGACTATTTCAAATATATAACAAATTCTCTCCTGATTACTCTTACATGTTTATTTTACTTAATAATTTTAGAATAGGCTTGAGTATTTCAAGAAATATATGGATAATAATAGGATTTCATTATATTTTTGACTAGTTTAGAGAGTGTGGTAGGGAGACTAATGGCCCCCTCCAAGGTATCTACATCATAATTTCTTGAATCTTTAAATACATTGCCCTCCATGGCAAAAGGGACTTTCCAGATATGGCTAATGGTACAAACTTTGAGATGGAGAGATTATCCTGGATTATCTGGGTGGGCCAATGAAATCTCATTAGTCCTCAGAAGAGGAAGAGGGAGGCAGAAAGATGTTACATGAGGACATGACCCACTGTTGTGGCTTTGAGGATGGGCAAGGGGTTACAAGGAATGCAGGCAGCCTCTAGACGCTAGAAAAGGCAAAGAAATGGATTCTCTCCTAGAGTTTCCAGAAAGGGTTGTGGGCCTGCTACATACACCTTGATGTTAGCCAAGTGAGACTGATGTTGGACTTCTGAACTACAGAACTGTAAGATAATACAATTTTGTTGTTTTAAGCCACATTTGTTACAGCAGCATTAAGAATCAATGAAAACTGACATATTTTCAATATGAAGTCATCTATCCAGAGTATTTTTTTTCTATTTATGTAAATTTTATTTTATATCCCTTAGTAACATTTTAAATTGTCCCTCTATAGATCACGCACATTTTATTAAATTGTAAATTAGCTTTTTAAACCACAAAGTGGATCATAACACTCTCTCAATTGGTTTCTGTGGCTTTCAAAAGCCTACTGAATAAATACTGAAATCCTCAGCATGGTACTTGAGAAACTCCAGGGTTTAGTTTCTTCCCCTCGAGCCTCATCTTCTACCATATACTCACCTCACTGGCCTGTTGAACAAGGTCCATCATTATTTTGCTCATGACTAGAGTTATCAGATAATAAACATACAGGGTACCACATTATATTTGACTTCTAACAAGGAATACTATCTTATTTTAGGTATGTCCCATGCAACATTTTTCCTTTATCTCAATGTGTATATTCACAGACAATTAGAAAGTACTCAAATTTAACTGATTTCCTGTATTATTATTATTTGCTTAAATCAGGCAGCCCTACACGGGATGTTATAAGACGTGTGATGTCTTTTTACTTTCTTCATAGATTTGGTAGGTTAATGTCTTTCAGATTGCAAGTTTACTGAGCATTTATTTTTCTCCATTTTCCACAATGCCTCATATTTATAAGACCTTCAATAAATGTTTGCTGAATAAACGAATAAATATTGTCAATAAATCATGAGATGAAGTAAATCTCATGTTGTTGGTAAACTAACTTTATACTGTTTTAATGCTAAGATAGTATAAATTTTATTCTTTCATAAGCAACATGGCTTTGTGTTTGCCATTGAAACATTTAATAAGAAGGAAAATTCATAAAAAAATGGTAAGTGTATCAACTAAAAGATAAGAGGCTATGCCAACAAAGAATTAGGAAATCAAAACCAAAACATTTCTACTCTGAAATTGTGGGTATCCATCAAAGTCATTTGCACAGCGCTTCAGATGCTAGGAGATGAACGACCGGGATTAAATATGTGTAGGATACTGACACTTTCTTCTTTTAGATAAATCAAAATGTAATCTGTTATAAACAGAGTTTGAAATAATTTTCCTGAATTATTTGTCTCTTAGAGTCCAACATAATTGACACCTGCCAGAAATTGTGCTTCAGGAAAACTGCAATTACTAGGTTTAATACAGATAAACTTTCCTCTGCGTAAGACACATGCTAAGCAGCACCTGCCACAGGAAAGAGCAGACTTACTGTTACATCGGGAGACATCAATGTGTTTCAAGTCTTTCATCATTTCAGCTCCTACTTTAGACCTTCAAGAAATAGGACAACGAATTAGCCTGCTGTCTGCCCACATGACACAGTAACGTGAATCTCCTGCTTGGACATTGCGATTGAATTAGGATTTGGGAAGACTTTATAACCCGCTGAGAGCACCTGAAGTCCAGGGCAGCCCTACTCATCTGCCACCTGCAATTGGTATGTCTTGGAGTTTTAGATGCAAAATATTTATCTAATCTGCAAGTTCTCTTCTCTCTTTCTGCTTCCACATCACCTATTCAAGTTGGCATAATATTTTTCTCAGCCTCTAACTGGTCATCCTATCTGAGTTTTATCCTACTTAAATTCTTCAATACAACTTCCAGAGCACCCTTTCTAATTGCAAAGTCAACTGCATTATTGCTTAAAACCTTTTATTGTCTTCCCATCACTTCCTAAGAAGTCCAGACTCCTTAGCATGATGTGGAGACCACTTATCACAGGGCCCCTGCTTCTCTCTTTACTCATGTTTCCTGGTATGTTTACTTCAGTTTTTCCTAGAAACTTGCTTTCTGAAGACTGTAAGCTATGTGAAGGAAGGTAATGCATTTGCCTGGTCCACTGCTGTATCCTCAGTATCTGTCAGAAGGTAGTGTTTAATCTGGTGCATTAATAAATGTACACTGTATTTCTTTCCTCCAATTGATGAAAGACCACCTGACTCTTCCTGCTTCAAAGCTCTTACCATCTCTCTGACTCTGTTTCAAACCTGTGCACATATGTATTGTAATTGGAGGCAGGCAGAAAAGGGTTAAGAGGGGAATGGGGACTCAGGTGCCAAGTACAACAGATATAGGTGGCACCTGATTCTCTGCTGCTGATACTTGGTGACATGCACCATCAGAGATAAAAGAGAAGGAACAGAAACAGAACTATGCTTTTACTTATTTCAGAAGAGAGTCAGGAACTACACATCAGGAGCCAATCTTGGATAAATAGGCAAGAGTCTAGAATTCATGTTATTTTTCCATGTTTGGTGTCTATTCTTTACTTCCTCTTTGCATATTTTTTGAAAGCTTAGGGAAAATGGATCTCCAGGGAAAAAATGGGTATTGGAAGAATGGAAAGGGAAAAGGAAATGGACTGAGCCCTTGAGGCTTACAGAAGGTTAGCAAATTAGCAAAAGACTCTGGAACTGATAGGTGTCTCAGGGCTTGGCTCACAGTTTCTGGGATTTGTGGTGACAGATAGTCACCCTTTGAAAATCCTCAAAATGGCCCTTGAGGAGACCCTGATTCTAAGCAATGAAGTGTTTTCCTCCTCAATGGAGAACAAGGAGATAGGAAGTGAGTGTCTGTTTGTGAGCAGGGGAAGAAAGGCATGGCATTGACAAAGCCAAGATTGTTAGGGGAAACATGCTTATACTTGGAGCCTCCAGAAATCACTGGGTCACGTTTGGGGAGTATGAAGGACTCCTCTACCCTGAGCAGTATATCCTGAGGAATATCTGATCGTGAGATCAACTGGAGATGACCAGTAGGAGTTAGCTTTTTAGAAAGATTACTCAGGCTGCAGAGTAGAGAATGGATTAGAGAGGCTGTGATTGGTGGGAGGGAGACCAGCCAGGAAGCTGGTACAAGTAGCCTAGTGAGATGATGGTGGTCTGAACTTGGATAGCAGCACTAGGCATGGAGAAAAATGGATGAGTGCGAAAGATAAAAGAGGCAGAATCTACAGAATATGATATGGGAGGTGAAGGAGCATGGATGTTCTCAAGGAATCTTATTTTCAGGGGAACATCTATGAATACATAGAATAGTTTGCCATAGAGCACATTTTGTAAGACCTAAGTCTATATCAAAAGACCTGACTGAATCTGAAAATATCAATCATCATGGAGAAGCTAGGCCTATGTATTACAGAATTCCATCTTGTGCAGTCTTCTTGTATTGACCATTTCAACAAAAATGCAAACTTTGGCATGAAACGGGACCCCATGAAGTACCACATGTCTGATCAGAACCTTGAGTAGAGGAGACATCTGAGAAGGTGATGCTTAATATTAGTTGAGATGAGCAATGTAGCTCTGGGCTGGGGGCATCTCACAGTGTATTGAAAAGTATACTTACCTGTTGAAAAGGCTTTTTTCCTTGGCAGTAAGATAAGAAATTTCTCGATTCTTGGAGGTCATGTGGGTCAGTGCCTCACAGGGCATGTGTTGAGGCTTCACGCAGTAGAAGGCTTCATGGTCTCTGTCATCCAGGTATTCACATAGTTCAGCACTTGAGTTTAGGGTCAGGCCACATTCAGTGAAGACGTGGGTGGTGCCGTTAACAAATTTACCTTTGAAAATAGTTCTATCATAGCCTTGGTTCCTTGCCCTCCAGAGAGCCGATGCCCCCTCACTGGGGTGCATGAGCAGGAGAGACAGGGAGACCTGGCCCTCCCAGAACAGAGTGAAGCTGACAAGGTAGGTCCCATTGTTGAAGTCAGTCACCTTTCCTGCAGCACCTGCCTGCAGGGCTGGGGAGGACATCCTGGCCCTCAGGAAATCCCCACCATATTCCTTCCTGCGTCCTAAGTGGTCCCTCGCCTCCAGCAGGATGTCCAGCTGATCCCCCCTGCAGTATGAGTCTCTAGGGTTGAGGATGGTGGCTGTGCTGTGGGTGGCACTGGTGGTGGTGTTCACGTGGGTGAAAGGTCTGGGAGGGATCAGCTGGTCTAGTTTCTCCATGATTTCCTTTATTCTCAGCTCAGTCTCTGTTAGTGTCTTTAATGGGCCCAGTGGAGTTTTAGGGAATAAGGACATTGTATATATGTTCCAGTGTTGGGAAAAGATGTGTAAGTTTAGAACAGACCAAAGCTGAAATGACAAGAAATGTGACATAATATGAAATGAACCTGTTCCTCATCATTTTTGAGTATTTATTTACATATTATCATCAATATTAACTAAAACGACAATTTTGAATAAAATGTAAACACTTACATTTTTACCTCAATATTTTAGAGAATACCTGAAGAGTTGTAGATAAATCTAAAATATACACCTCAGAGAATATGTATGAGTAATAAATTGCTGCTGCTGCTTTATTCTTCCTTTTCATATACACCCAACACGCAATAACTAATTGCTGCTCGTTCCACCTCTAAGTGCCTTTTACCCATGTCTGACAGGCCTTTCCTTCCCAGCTGTATCATAGTTCAAGCCATCATCATTTATCTGCAGGATTGTTGCAGTCACTCAGGGATGAAGTCTGTCTCAGAGTTCATGAAAGCAGTCGTGCTTTCTCTCCATTTAATTGTCACCATTGAAGCCAAACTGGTCCTTTAAAGCAAGACTCTATTCATGTCACCTCCCTGCTTAAGCCCCTTCAATGGCTTCTTGTAACTCTTGGGGTAAAGTCCAATCTTAATGTGCTTCATGCTGTGGCCTCTTTTTAACTCTCCCGTTCTTACCAGGAAGAGGTAAGAACTCCAGTTTTATGGCTATTTTTATTTTTAGTAGCTGATCTTTTTTTTCAGTTCTTTCTCTTTACTAATACTCTTTTCTTTTCCTGGATTGCTGGCCACCTCCACGTTTTCCCCCGTTACCTAAACATCTGTCAATGTCTCATTTAGAAATCACTGCAAGTTTAGAGATCACTTACAGTTTTAGCAATAGACAGTATTTTATAGTTACTCATATTCAGTGATTTCAAACCTTGGTAGCAATCAAAAGCACATGCCAAACTTTTATAAAAATATGGATTCCCAGGCTTTAATCCAGATCAACTGAATCATAATCAGTAAATGTGTTGTATACACTTTTCAAAAGCCTCACAGGCAATCCTATGATCAGATAAGTTTGAGAACAATGATTACAGACCAGTGGTTGTCAACTGTTTCACAGTTTAGAACACATGTAAAGCTTTAAAAAAAAAAAAAAAAATGCCTGCCAAGCTGCCCTTCACCCCAGCATCAATCAATAAAATGCTTGTGATTGGTGACAAAGTGGCAGAATAAAACAAAAGAGATGTGAAACAAGGAAATCAGATATAATTAAAAATAAAGATGATGGAACCCAAGGTGATTGAATCTTTGAAAAAAACTTACAAGATTGACAAACCTTTGGCAATGTCAAACAAGAAAGAGAGAGAGATGCAAAAAAGCAAAATCCCAAATAAGAATCTTCTCATATAACTCTGGAAAATATATAAAAAAACCTTAATTTGCTCAATAGGGAATAGAAAAATGGAACAGAAAATAACCATGTAATATGTAATAATAATAATAATAATAACAATATCATCATCATAATGATAAATCTTTTTAAAATTTTTCCCACCTCCAAAAGTCACAGATTGAGATGCTTTTATTGGTGAGTACAGATGTCCCTAATTTACATAATGAGGAAAAACTGTCCAATAAACTTTATGAGATGGAAATAGGTTTAATAGTAAAACCTGATAAGCACAATACAAGAAAAATACAGGTCTAGTTCAGCTTTTAAATTCTCTCTCTCTACCTGTATGTATATATGTAAATATATAGGTAAATTAGATAGATACAAGCGTGTGTGTGTGTGTTAGTCATGGTTGATTCTGAATTAATTCAGGATTGTACAGATGACTCCAGAGAGAAAAATCTTTCAGTATAATTTATATCTTAATGCATTAAAACAAAATCTCATCATTTTTCTTTGTTCTTAAACTTTTTTGATTGGGATTGCAGTTTCCCAAAAAAGCATTTGATGTATTTCTACACTAGTTTAGCATTAAAGTTCAATAAATGGAAAACCTTTTCCAAACTGACATTTTCAAAGTCAGGAAGAAGATACAGATTTTAGCCCTCATTAACTGAAATAAAGTTTAACATATGAGAAAGTCCTGAACAATAAACAAAAATCAGAAGTATGAGAATTGTAAAGGAGGAGGCAGACTTTCTTTATCTTTTTTCTTCTCTTCCTTATTTTATTTTATTTTTTTTCTGAATGGTAAGGGGATCGCAACCCTTGGCAGGGTGTGGTCCGCACCACGCTCAGCCAGTGAGCGCACCGACCATCCCCACATAGGATCCGATCCTGCGGCCTCAGCACTACCAGCGCAGCACTCTCCCAAGTGAGCCACAGGGCTTTCCCATTCTCTTCCTTATTTTTGGTAGGTGTTTGATTGTCTATAAAGAAAACTAGGGTTAGCAAATTATTAGCATTAAGAGAGTCAGCAAGGAGCTGAATACAAACTAAACTTACTAAATCAAAAGCATTTATCTATACCAGTAATAATTACTAAAAAATACAGTAGGAGATAAGCTCTGAACTTGATGGAGGCATTTTGAAAACTCTTAAAGGATATTTATTTATTGTTTATTTCAGTTCTCAGAAATTTAATTAAAATTATTTTTACAAACACTTAATTTTGATCACTTGTTACATTCTTTTTTAAAATTAATTTATTTTTTATTGGAACATAGTTGATTGTACATATCAGGGGATACAGCATTTAATATCAATACCTGTATGCAATGTGTGATGTTCAAATCAGGATAATTAGTATATTCAACATTATACAATGCAATCAATTTTCATGGCCCTCTCCCAATTCCTCCCTTCCCCTTTCCTACCTCCAGTAACCTCAGTTCTGTTCTCTTCTTTTGAAAGTTCAACATATTAATGTGATTTTTGTATCTTTCTTTCTTTTTTTTATTTATTGGTATATTTATTTATTTTTTTTAACTCCCACCTATAAGTGAGGACATGCAGTATTTCTCTTTCTCTGCCTGGCATATTTCACTTAACATAATTTTCTCTAAGTTCATCCATGTTGCTGTGAATGGCAGTATTTCTTATTTTGTTTTTAATGGCAGAGTAGTATTCCATTGTGTATATATACTACATTTTCCTTATTCAGTCATCCATCAATGGACATTTAGGTGGGTTCCATCTCTTGGTTATTGTAAATAGAGTTGCAATAAACATGGGAGTACAAATATTGCTTCAACATAATGATTTCCATTCCTTTGGGTATATACCCAGCAGTGGAGTTGCTGGATTCAAAGGCAGTTCTATCTGTGGTTGTTTGAGGAACCCCCATACTGTTTCCCATGATGGCTGCACTAATTTACAGTCCCACCAACAGTGTAGGAAGGTTCCTCTTTTGCCATATCCTCACCAGTATTTGTTATTGTCTGTCTTTTTGATAATAGCCAGCCTAACTGGGGTGAGATGATATCTCACTGTGGTTTTGGTTTGCATTTCCCTGATGCTGAGTGATGTTGAGCATTTTTCCATGTGTCTGTTGGCTGTTTATATATCTTCTTTTGAGAAATGCCTATTTAACTCCTTTTCCCATTTTTTCATCAGGTTATTTGTTCTTTTACCATTAAGTTGTTTGAGTTGCTTGTATATTCTGGATATTAATCCTTTGTCCAATGCATAGTTTACAAATATTTTCTCCCACTCTATTGGTTATCTTTAAACTCTGTTGTTTCTTTTGCTGTGCAGAAGCTTTTTAGTTTGATATAATCCCATTTGTTTATTTCTCCTTTTGTTGCCTGTGCTTTTGGGGTCCTATTCATAAAGTCTTTGCCCAGTCCTACTTCCTGAAGTGTTTGCCCTAAGTTTTCCTTTAGGAGTTTTATAGTTTTCAGTCTTACATTTAAATTTCCAATCCATTTTGAGTTGATTTCCATATATGGCAAGAGGTACAGGTCTAGTTTTATTCTTCTACATATGGATGTTCAGTTTTCCCAGCATCATTTATTGAAGAGGCAGTTTTCTTCTCAATGTATGTTCTTGGTGTGTTCATCAAAGATGAGCTGGCTGTAAGTTTGAAGGTGGATTCCTGGGTTCTTTATTCTATTCCATTGGCCCAGGTATCTGTTTTTATGCCAATACCTTGCTGTTTTGGTTACTATAGCTTTCTAGTATAGTTTGAAGTCAGGTAGTGTTATGCCCCTGGCTTTATTTATCTTTTTTGCCCAGGATTGCTTTGGCTATTCAGGTCTTTTGTTATTCCATATGAATGTTAGGGTTGTTTTTTCCATTTCTGAGAAAACTGTCATTGGAATTTTGATGGAGATTGCGTTGAATTTGTAGGTCACTTTGGGTAGTATGGACATTTTCACAATGTTAATTCTTTCAATCCAAGAGCATGGGATATCTTTCCTCTTCTTGTGTCCTCTTTAATTTCTCTCAGCAGTGGTTTGTAGTTATCATCATAGAGATTTTTCACATCCTTGGTTAACTTTATTCCTAAGTATTTTATTTTTTTGGTGGCTGCTGTAAATGGGCTAGCTTTCCTGATTTCTTTTTCTGCATGTTCACTGTTGGAGTATAGAAATGGTACTGATTTTTGTGTGTTGATTGACTAAAATGAAAAATAATGACAACAAATGTGGAGAGGATGTGAAGAAACCGGATCTCTCATACATTGCCTGTAGGAACATTAAATGGTAGAGCCAGTCTGGAAAAGCTTGACAGTTTCTTAAAAATCTTACGATGCAACTACCAGATTATGTATCCTGCAACTTTGCTGAGATCATTTATCAACTCTAAGAGGTTTTTTGTAGAGGCTTTTGGCTGTTCAATATATAGGATCATGTCATCTGCAAACAGGGACAGTTTGACTTCATCTTTTCCAATCTGGATGCCCTTTATTTCCTTCTCTTCTCTGATTGCTCTGGCTAGTATTTCCAACACTATGTTGAATAGGAGTGGCAAGAGTGGGCATCCTTATCTTGTTCCTGTTCTTAGGGGAAAAGCTTTCACCCTGATACCAAAACTAGACAAAGATACAACAACAACAACAAAAAGGAAAACTACAGGCCAATATCCTTGATGAATATAGATGCAAAAATCCTCAATAAAATATTAACTAACAGAGT